GTTTTGGGTTTGACCTCCAGTAGTGGGTGCGCAGGAGGCAGCTGATCGACGCTTCTCTCCCATTGATGTTTCTCTCCCTGTCTTCTCTCTCTAAAACCAATAAAAACATGTTTAAAATAAGGCTGTCAGTTGAGACAATCATCTGAAGGAAGGACTGAGGGAGCAGAGGACCCCCCCTTCCCTGACAGTTCCCTCCTATGGCTGTTAGCGGAGACTGCAGTTCCCCAATGGCTGGTGGAAGCTTCAGTCCTTGGAGACAGCAGCCTTTCCAAAGCCCTACTTGAGTATCCTCAACACTTTCCCCAAAGCACTGATCCAAGAAAGAGCAAGGCAGGAGCCGCAGTGTCTTTTATAGCCTGTCGTCGGGAGACAAGCTCTGCCATTTGTGCAATACTCTCTTACGCCATCAGCCCGCTGGGCCCGGAGGGACTGCACAGTCAGGAGTGCCTGGAGGCGGCAGTCCCCAGGGCCTCTGAGGGGGCTACCACAGTACTGGAGCCTTGACAAGTATCCTATCCCTTGGTCTATTTTTTGTGTAGAACTTATTCCTACCTGACACGTTACTCATTTCTCTTCATTAAACATTACTTTGTGAAAGGATTTTTGCTAGCTTTATTCATTGCTATATTCCCATACACTTGAGTAAAAGCTCAAATATATTTTGAATGTCTGAATGCATAATCATGTGGTTCAAAGATTAAAATTGGGAAGACTAATCCAATTAGGAAATATTTTCCTAGCTGGGCTACAAGGGGACACTATCTCTAGCAACAGAGTTACGGATACCAGAGCTGGATGACCTTAGGTGCATTTGTTATAGAGGAGCACCAGATGGATTTGTTAGTATTTGTGGGCCTTTCTATGTCTTCTATTACTCTATCTTTCAAAAAGCCTTTTTCTGCCTAAACCGGTTTGGCTCAGCGGTAGAGCGTCAGTCTGCGGACTGAAGGGTCCCGGGTTCGATTCCAGTCAGGGACATGTGCGTTGGTTGCGGGCACGTCCCCGGTGGGGGGGGTGCGGGAGGCAGCTGGTCGATGTTTCTCTCTCATCGACATTTCTGGCTCTCTATCTCTCTCCCTTCCTCTCTGTAAAAAATCAATTTAAAAAAAAAAAAAAGCCTTTTTCTGCTTATGAATACACATGAATGTTCAAATAATGCCAAAGATGAAAAAAAGAAAACAAATCACTCACAGTACAACATAACCACCATCTACCTACATTATACCTAATGCTTTTTACATACAGGTACACATAAATGTGTAAGGACACATACATTCACACACAAAATACGCATGAAATGAAAAGAAGGCTGCAAAATCATGATACATAGTCAAGATTTCCAAGTAAATATGGTTAACTTAAAAAAAAAAAACAGTTTCTTTTATAAAAATTACTCATGCTTACTTTAAAACCAAACCAAATTTAGAAATTTCAAAGAAGAGTGTAAAAGTTATGTGAAAACTTGCCAAGCCTTGAGAACCACTATTAAACTGTTGGTATATATCCTTCCAGACATATAGTCTGAAAAATAATTAAAACACAAAACTAAAAAAAAATCAGAAAAGCCTGTGTGATTTTTGTTAGGTTTTACCAACTGCTAGAAACACCTTTTAAAGACCAGGAGTTACACTTCTCAACAAAGGCCCACATAAGAAGGAAACAAACCAATTATGAATGTATGTCCTATGGATTCACAGACACCCAGGGGCGGGCAGAGCAAGGCAGGGCAGGGCTGGGCAGGGCAGGGACCTTACCATCAAGCGGCAAGCTGCCTGGGTTGGGGCTGCACTCCCGTTCTCCCCTGCCCGTTGTGAGCTTACCTGCTCCAAGGCTGGAGTGCCGTGCTGGCCCAGCAGCCCTGCCTGAGCTCACAATGCTTTCTGCTTACCCTTCCACAGGGGATCTAGCCTCTCGGCCTCACTGGGAGCAGCAGTCACTGGAGCAGAGTGGCAGCCGATCTCAGGTGCTCCCCTGGGCTTCCTGCTCTCAGCCACCCTGGCTTCTCAGGCTCCGTGCCCTGGTGGCTCTGCAGCACCTTCGGGAAAGGCACCCGACTCCTTTCACAAAACAATGAAAACGAAGATTCTAATTAGTTCATTTAATTATTGTTCCATGTTTTAATGTTTCCAGATGATCCAAAAACTGTTGAGGAGCCATAGAAAATGTTTTACTTTATAACCTTCTCCGGTGTAGAGTAAGGGGCCTTGTGGCTGGCTCTGCCACACCTCTGCACAGAAGGGCCTATTTACACACTTGCCCTGCTCTATCTCAGGCAAGTACACACAATTCAGCTGTGTGACTGCAAGTAGCACACACGGTCGAAGTAGCTGGGCGTGTGGCAGCTCTGTCCACCGTAGTGTGCAGAAAACAGGAAGAACAAGCTGTCCCAGGACTTGCAGTTTTCTGTTACACGAATATCACCCACAACTGAGACCTACACATCACAAACTGCAATATTAATAAAAACAACCAACACGGAGGCATTATTTTACCAAGTCACAATTTAAAGCCAGTTTAATTCTAGGGTACACCTTGGTCCCAGTATTTTATTTTTAAAACTGATGTTAAGGGCATTTCAACATAGATATTTGCTCTGACCATAACAGATACTGTTTCATGCAAAGCTTTTAAGTTGCAATAAAATAGTTATGAAATGGCAATAATTTAAGTCTTTTCCCATTAGCTTTAAATTGCATCCTATTCCTCTAAAACTGTGGTCAGCAACTGTGGCTCATGAGCCACATGCGGCTCTTTGGCCCCTAGAGTGTGGCTCTTCCACAAAATACCACGGCCTGGGCGAGTCTATTTTGAAGAAGTGGCGTTAGAAGTTAAAAAATTTGGCCCTCAAAAGAAATTTCAATCGTCGTCCTGTTGATATTTGGTTCTGTTGACTAATATTTCACATAGTACACGTTTACTTTCCCTAATGTCAATGTGTATCTTATCTTATATTCTTCCCTGCTATAAACTGCCTTTTTATTCAACTTTCCAAACCCTGACATCCTCTGCCCGTGGCCTCCAGATGCCCCTGGTTTGTCCAGGACACCGCAGCCCTGCCCAGCGTGGCCACCATGTCCTGGTCCTTAGCTCTGTGGGTCACGTGTGCTGCCAGAATGCACTTTCTAGAGGCAAGGTGAGGCGTATTTTTACATCCGTGCCCTCTAAGGAACTGAGAAAATGTTGATGCAAAATAGGAGCTTTAGAAATATGTCAATTAGGCGCTGACCGGACTGGTTCAGTGGATAGAGCATAGGCCTGCGGACTGGAGTCCCAGGTTCCATTCTAGTCAAGGGCATGTACCTTGGTTGGGGGCACATTCCCAGTAGAGGGCGTGCAGGAGGCAGCTGGTCACTGTTTCTCTCCCATTGGTTTCTAGCTCTATCCCTCTCCCTTTCTCTCTATAAAAAAAATCAATATACTTAAAAAAAAAAGAAATATGTTAATGAAGTAATCCACAGAGGGGGACAGAGTTCATCTCCAGGTCTGACTGAGGGACATCCTGTGGATGGAAGGGCCACGCACTGCTGGCTCAGGGGGGAGCCGGAGACAGGGCGATCTCAGGACCACCTCAGTGGTTGGCAAACTGCAGCTCGGGAGCCATGTGCGGCTCTTTGGCCCCTTGAGTGTTTAGCAAAGGCCTGCTTGGGTGTACCCTAATTCAGCGTTTTTCAACCGCTGTGCCGCGAGATGTTGCCTGGTGTGCTGTAGGTGCAGACAAGACAAGAATTTTATAATTTTTCACTATTTTGTTTACTTAATATTTCATAATAAAGTAATTATAAAATACTTTGTGTTTATTTGATTCCTATTCAAGAGAATTACTTTATATATAGTCAATATAGGCACAGAGTTAAATTTTTTAACATTTTCTAATGGTGGTGTGCCTCGTGATTTTTTTCATGAAACAAGTGTGCCTTTGCCCAAAAAAGGTTGAAAAACACTGCCCTAATTAAGTTAATAACAACGTACCTACCTAGTTTAAAAAATTTGGCTCTCAAAAGAAATTTCAGTGGTCGTACTGTTGATAGTTTGCTCTGTTGACTGATGAGTTTGCCGCGACCACTGATCTAGATGAACCCTTCAAACAGCAGCGAGGGCGGCACTCAGGCCCCAGACCGTGTCTCCCCTGACGAATTCCTGTCAATTAGGGAGTAATTAACACAGGCCAAGCCCGCCTGTGTCTGTGATTTCACTCTTCTTCCCTTTATTTAATAGCAGGGGCAATCTTAAAGTCCTTTCTCCTCATCACGTCTGGTCCCTGCACAACTCTAGGTCCCGGAGCTGGGACGTGGAGTTTTACTCCATCAACTACAAGCGGCTTCCTCTGAGGAAGGGCGCCCACCCGGCCGGAGGGCCGGCGAGCACGGCCCGCGGAGCCGGGGCCACAGCCGCCACCTCCATCTTTAGCCTGAGGCCCTCGGCGCTCTGGGGTCGCGACCCCGAAAACTGCTTTTACTTCTCCCGCCTGGTGTCCAGTGTAGACGCTTCACCTTTGGGCTTCACGGACCCACTTCCATCTCCTCGGATGGTAACGTAAGAAACGGGGCGGAAAGCCGCCATTCTCCGGGGTATACGTTGAGGTTCTGCGTCTAGGCAACTGCCACAGTTTGGCTCAGACAAACTCACAAAACGCTATGCAGGTTTGAATGTTTCCGTAAGTTAACGGGCTGACCATGGGCCTCGCCGCCTCTCCTCAGCGCCCGGAGGCGGGCGCCGGAAACCCTCCCGGCGCCAGGCAGCCCCGTCCCAGCAGGCCCTGCGCTAATTCCGGAAGGGAGGCCAGGCCCCGCCCATGCCGGGGAAGGCGTGGCTAGGATTGGATGTGCCGCCTTGCTCTGCAAGGCCCTGGCTTCCGGTCCCGCGGCCCCGCCTCCACTGCCGCCCGGGAGCCGCCCTGGGGCCCCGCCCACGCGAAAAGGGCGGAGCTTCGAGCGAAGAGCTCCACTGGGGTCGAACGTCCGTCGTTGAACGCGGGGGCCAGGGTCACGTGGGGCGGGCGTGGGGGCGTGGCACCCGGAAGCGGCCTCGGGATCACCCGATCGCCGCCGCCGCAGGCCGGCCGACCCCCGTGCCTCCGCTGGCTGCCACCCCCGCGCCCCCTGGGCCCCCGGCGCCGCCCGCCATGGGCGAGGAAGACTACTACCTGGAGCTGTGCGAGCGGCCGGTGCACTTCGAGAAGGCGAACCACGTCAACTGCGTCTTCTTCGACGAGGCCAACAAACAGGTGGGAGCCGCCCGCACCCTCCTCCCCGCACGGCCTCCACCCCGGGGCCAAGGCCGCCCGCGCGCCCGGCGGGGTGCCAGGACCGGCCGGGCCTCCGCCAGAGCCCTCCTGTCCGCGGCCCGGGACCAGCCTCCTCCGGCCGGGCTCGCTTCCCCGCGGGGCAGCCGGGAGTGGGCTGCCAGCAGGCCCCTGTCCGCGCCTGGGAGCTCGGTTATCCGCGGGATTTTGGGGGGGAGCAGTGGGAGCAGCGCAGGGATGCTGACGCGGCGCTCCCAAACCGGATTAGAACCTGGGTCCCCGGGGCCGGGGCCCGTCTGCGCAGTTTGGGATGGTAACCCTTTTGGTGTCCCCCCTCGTTTCTTAAAATTCACGCGATCACCTAGCACCCCAGATCGGTGTGTTGGTTTGGCTGAGCCGGGGGCGGGGGCAGCAGGAATGTTCACTCGTGGGCTGGAGTTGCAAGAACACTCACTGGCGGGATGGTAAGGTGTCCACACCTTTCAAGCTGCTTCTCTTCTCTCGCAGGTCTTTGCTGTGCGATCTGGCGGAGCTACGGGGGTGGTGGTGAAAGGCCCGGATGATAGGAATTCCATCTCATTCAGGTAACTGTATTAACATCTGCAGAATAAGTTCGACATGTCGATGGCGTTGTTCTGCTCCTCATTCGGGACTCTGCTCCCCTTAAGAGATCTGAAGTCTTTCGTGCCACCCTGTGCCCGTGGGGAGAGGACGGGGACCCCTGCGTGCAGTCCCCGGCTCGTCCCCCTGCCACGTGTGGAGTGGTTCTGCTCGATTTGGGAATCAGACCCTCCCAAGTAGGGCACCCACTTCCTGGCACTTGAAGCTAGCAAGTCATTGCGTTAGTGTGCCGGTTCCTTTCCTGGTGGAGGACCTTCGTTCCTCCGGTCTTAGCGGCATTTGGAAGTGCAGGGTTCCTGGGTCAGGGTTTTTCAGGTAAAAATGTGTTAAGGGAACCCTGGCTTCGCTGAGCTCCAGGTTATGCAAGGTGAGCTGGAGTAATTATGAGCAGCAGCTCCTTTCACTTTCAGATCTCAATTTTGGTGAACTATTAGGATGGACCCAAACTCCTGTGGTTATAGGAGGAAATACACAGTAGGCCCTCGGCTCAGCGGTGACTTTAACGTTTGCCTAGCTGGCCTGTACTTCAGGAAGCATTTTTTGGAGAAGAAATCAATCACGTGTGCAATGCCCATGCTAGGCATCAGGCATGTGAAGGCTTTGGACCCGCCTGGCGCCCTTTTGCAGAATGCAGAATGCAGAACTGCATGGTGGGAGACAAGTGAGGAACACATACTGGTTCCTGTGATAAGTGCTGTGCCCAGTGTGGACACACAGGAGATGCAGTGTTTATCATGGGAGCAGGAGAGGGAAGGCCTTAGAGAGGAAGGAGGTAGCCCTTGATTAAAAGTGGAGAGCTGGAAAGGGAGGATTCTAGGCGGGGAAGAGAGGAGGCGGCATCCGATGGAGAGATCTCTAGGAACAAAGGCCAGCAAGCGTGGGGGTGGGCAACTCCAGGTCTGTGTGACTGCCGATCAGGTGTCCCTGCTGGAAGGGGAGGCAGTGGTGTGGCACGGATAGGGGTCAGCTTGAAACTTACGTGTTCTGCTATGAATTAGGGCTTTACCTTGTTATGAAGATGGGTGAGGTGGGGTGTGGCATGATCCTGTCAGTGTTTGGAAAGACCACGCTGACACTGCATTAGTTGGGCGCCTGTCCATCACAGGCACCGCTGGGAGAGCCTTGCTGGGGTCTGGTCCAGGCGTGGTGCAGGCCATATGGAGGGCAGTGGAGATGGTATCGAAAAGGCCCTGGGCATCAAAATGAGTGAGCCCATGATAGCCCAGATTTGGTTTGAGGGGGAAGATACTACCCTCTTAAAAACATGTTATTTATTGTTAATAGCCTTACTGTGGTGTAATTATTAACTGGACCTATTTAACGGTCATTGATGAGTTTTGACATGTGTGCACTGTGAAATGAACACACACACCAGAGCTCCCACACACCCTTTGTGAACCTTTGGTTTCCCTTTGCTGGAGGTGGTGGTGAAGCTTCTGGTGAGCCCCCAGGGGAGGGGGTGGGAAAGCTCAGCTCAGAAGCTTTGTTGTCCCAGCGATGGAGAGGGAAGGCAGTTGTCTGTGGAGGTGCCTGTGGGCACTGGAGTACCTCCGAGCTGCGGCCGGTGGTTCCAGGCTACTGCCATGGAGCATCAGATAGTGAGCTGTAGTGTTTTTACTGGTGGTGGTCAGTTTGTGAAAACGCAACACCCTCTGTGAAGCGTAATAAAGTGAAGTGCGATAAAACAAGGTGTTCTTGTGTGCGCCTTGTTTGCACCTGTGTTTGAATAAAGTCATTTTCTGGTGAAAGTAAGTGCAGGTGATCTCCATTCTCCCGTCCTTATTACTGCAGCACTGCGAACTTCTCCAGCAGCTTGTTGCTCCTGAATTTTGTTTTCTGAAAAGAGGTACTACTGATAGCATCAGAAACATAAGTTTAAGTTTAAACTAAGATATGCTACTTCCTGAATATTTACTTTACTTTCTTCTCACAAATGATAGAAGCTAGAGTTCAGTTATTAAATGGAACTCTTAACATACTCTTTCTCCTTACAGAATGGAAGACAAAGGAGAAGTGAAATGCATTAAGTTTTCCCTAGAAAACAAGATACTAGCTGTCCAGAGGACCTCAAAGGCTGTGGTAAGACATCCCTCTAAAGATGGTATAAAGAAAGCACTTTAGAAGTATATTCGGAAGAGAATGAATTGCATACTTCCAGTGTTAAAGGAGCCACTTGCTATTTTAAAGTCATGAAAACTAACTATGGAGCACTACTGTATTTGAACCTTTGGAGCTCTTAAAGAAAGACATGTGAGTGGATAAATACTGGTGACCTTAGTTTGTCCATTTTGACTTAAATTTTAAAAAACTATTTTGGAACCTCTGGCATCTTTTGTATGGATTAATGGCTAGCATCATAGATTGCGTGAGGTATAATTTTGGCTACTTTGTGAATGGCCCTATAAATTGGAGTGACTCCATTAAGTCACGTCTCCTGTCTTTGAATGCTTGATCTAATAGGACCAGGTATTGGAAGTTGGAGCAGTCTGTTGACAGTTTAGCCTTTATAAATATTCACGATCACATTTGCACGTAGAGAAAAACTTGGTAAAGAGGAGCACCCGAATTCCTTCCATCAGTATGAATTGTTTGGAAAGCTTCTTGTGCAGTGTAGAACAGCACAATTCTCTGAAATCAACCATTTGAATTAATTTCCAAAATCCGTTTCTAATCCCTCACTGAATATTTAGATTAACTTTTTTAAAAACAGAATTGTCAGCCAGCTGCTGTTAAAGAGGCAGATTGTTCATATTGGTCTTTTATTTTTCCTGTTTTTGGATTCTTGTCAGTTTTTTTCTAATCACTTTTTAAATATATTTATCTCTTTCTTTTGTCTGTTGTGTACTAAAGTAGGTTGTTGCCTGATCCAAATTCATCCTTGTGGTTTTTTTCCTAGGAGTTTTCTAATTTTATCCCAGACAGTTCTCAGTTAGAATACACGCAGGAGTGCAAGGTACGGCCCTCAACCTTTCCCCTCTGGTCTGTGCTTGCTGGGGGACTACGCGGTGCGGCCGCCTGGTGGCTGGTAGCTGAGTCAGACTGGAGGGGTTGGTGCTTGTGTTGAGAGGTGCTGCCCTGAGCTCTGTGACCTAGACACATTGGGAGCCTGTTTCTTCACTGAAGACGGAGCTGGAGGGTGACGGATGGGGGGTGGCATACTCCCTCTCTGGGCGACAGACCTGAGCCACCTCTTTGGAGATTTGCAGAAGAGGAGGCTTTTCCTTTATTGGTGATGTCTGCTTCCTCCGTCTGACCTTGTCATGCCCCCTTTCCCCTTTGAAGTAGATCCTAGCCCACGTTCATCAGGCTTGCTGGGTTAATAAACGAGGCTGCAGAAGGCGCAGCTCAGAGGGCAGTATGGCCCAGAGACTGGCAGGAGCTGCTAGTGGAAGGCGTGGCTCTCAGCCTCTCTGTAGAGTGTTTGCTAAATGGAGGTGAGGGTGGCTCCTCAACGAGGAAAGGCACATTGCCAAGTAGCTGCCCCTCCGTAGGCCCCCGCTCCTGAGCAGCCACGCTCGGGCCTCTAGCCAGCCTGCCCACCCGCCCGCCCACCCTCAGGCCCCGGCCTGGTTCACCAAGGGAGTCGGGGTGTGGTTGCAGCCACTGCACCCCACCCCCACCCCACTCCGGGTCAGTGCTCAGTGAGAACCTCTGGGCCTTTATACTGTGATGACCTGTGTGACCAAGGAGGTCAGCTGTCCTTTGGTCCCAAAGGGAGAAGCTGGCCACTGTGTGCTGGTCAGTTACCGCGCTGCTTCTCCTTTTCTGCTGACTCAGGCACTCCTGGGTGGTCCAGGGGAAAATCCAGGACCACGGTATTTGTTAAAAGAAAGTTTAACTTGTTAACATAACTCTGGTCACAGCAACACAGAGTACCCTACATTCTTCTTTTCAGACCAAGAATGCCAGCATACTCGGGTTCTGCTGGACCAGTTCCACGGAGATCGTCTTCATCACAGACCAGGGGGTGGAGTTCTACCAGGTACCGTGCGTCCCTGCTGCGGGGCGTCGGCAGGAGCAGCTGGCAGTGTGCGAACTCGGCACTGAACAGACAGCTTGAGGTTCTAGGCGCTGATCCCTTGACTGGGCTTTTTCCGAATGATAAGTAACACGTGCTTTGTATGAAACGTTGAGACATTACTGAGGTAGAATACATGTAGAGTAACAGTTCCCTATGGTCTCTAGAACACACCTGTTAGAGAAAGGGCCCCGCCCCCCGCCATGGGGGACGTGGCGTCCAGCCGGTGCTGCCGGAGGGTGGCTGCTGGGCGTCCGGCCGGGTTCGTTTGCTCATTTCCACGGTGAGAGGAGGTCGCTGCTGCTGGCTCTGGAGGTGAGGCTCCGAGGGGCGTGCAGAGGAGGGGCCGCCCAGCCGTGACGGTGCGGCTGAGCTCACTTTCCCGTTGGTCTGTGCAGCATAAGCACCAGACCCAGGCCTGGAAGCTGCAGCAGCTGAAAACCACACGTTTCCATTTAAGTTACTGTTCCTATGTTAACTACAGCCTGCCCCACCGGCTGCTCTTGCACGAGGGCTGTCTCACACTCGCCTCAGGTGTTGCCGGAGAAGCGGAGCCTGAAGCTCCTGAAGAGCCAGAGCCTGAACGTGAACTGGTACCTGCACTGCCCCGAGAGTGCCGTCATCCTGCTCTCCACCACCGTCCTGGGCAGCGTGCTGCAGCCCTTCCACTTCCGGGTGAGAGCAGCCCCAGCAGTATTCCCTCCGACCCCACCCCACCCCCGAGTGCCCCTGCAGAACTTCAAGGGCAAGTTCCTCCAACACTAACCGTGCCGCGTCTGACCACTGGAGGGCGCCTGTAAGCTCATTCTGGGGGGACAGACCCAGACTGTAGGTAGGGAATGCAAACTTTAAGGGTGAACACACCTCCTAACCCTTCCTTTCCCCACAGGCTGGCACTATGACAAAGCTGCCCAAGTTTGAGATTGAGTTACCAGCGGCACCCAAGTCCACTAAAGTGAGCCTTTCTGAGAGAGACATTGCCATGGCAACCATGTAGGTCTGTCTCTTGAGAGACTTCCTTTTGTTATTGCTTTCAGTGATGCAGCTGCTAGAAATGTGTACACAGTCTCAGGGAGCCTTGGGCCAACGAGGACTTCCCCTCCCTGTTAGCGCCTGGGTCCTGTGACCACGGCTTCAGAATGCCCGCGCCTTGGCCTGCGTTTTAGACTTTGCTGGCTTCGTGGTCCGAGGAAAGTCCTCTTGTCGTTCTGATCACATAAAATGAGAATGTTGGGCCATTCACCCCCTTCCCTTCCCTTTGTAAAAGGCTTTTTGTTTCTGCAAGCTTTGTTGGCTGCAGAGCATTCCATGAAGGACTGTGTCATGATTTACTCACTCGAGCGCAGACTCAGCGTTGAGGATGGAGGGCTCCTCATAGCATGCGTGACTCGTGTCTGTTCTCTGGCAGCTACGGGCAGCTGTACGTCCTCTTCCTGCGGCACCACGCGCGGGCCGCCAGCAGCGCGGGCGCCGAGGTGGTGCTGTATCATCTGCCCCGGTACGCGCTCCTCCCAAGGGCAGGTGGGAACGGGAGCTTTGGACACCGTGTGACCCCCCGGTCCCCACAGGGAAGGCGCCTGTAAGAAGACGCACATCCTGAAGCTGGGCCGGACGGGGAAGTTCGCCCTCAACGTGGTGGACAACCTGGTGGTCGTGCACCATCAGGACACGGAGGTGGGAGCCGTGGGGGCAGGTCTGCGTGGCACACGGTTGCTCAAGAGAATGAACAAAGCATTCTGAACACAGACGAGAAAGTGCTTTTCGTGCTAAAAGCTTTTAGATGGTTTAGAAGGAACAGGGATTCTGTATCATTAAGAATAATTTAAGCCAAGACCGGTTTGGCTCAATGGATAGAGCGTCAGCTTGGGGACTGAAGGGTCCCGGGTTCGATTCCGGTCAAGGGCATGTACCTTGGTTGCGGGCATATCCCCAGTAGGGGGTGTGCAAGAGGCAGCTGATCGATGACTCTCTCTCATCGATGTTTCTAACTCTCTATCTCTCTCCCTTCTTCTCTGTACAAAATCAATAAAATATATATATATATTTTAAAAAGAATAATTTAAAACTATTCCAGAAAGTAGCACATGAGGAGAGTGATTTGGAACCACTGTTTCTCAGCTGTGTTCACTGCAGCCCTCTGCATGTCTTCCTGTAAGTCCTTGGTGAGCAGGGATGAGTATGGCCCAAGAGAAGGCGGCGGGATGGGTCTTGCTCTTTCTCTGCCATTAGCGGCGTCTCCCAGGCCTCCTTGGGGGGCCAGCTCACTCGGCTCTAATGAGTTGGGACTGAAAGGTCTTCTGATGTCCTTAGGGAGCTTGTCAGCCTGTCAGGACCATCTGTGAGGTCAATGGGCATGGGAAGGACAGCGGTAATGTCAGCACATTCTTCCTGAAAGAAGAACTTGGGATGGGTGCAAACACAGATTTTTAAATGCATTTTTATTGACTTGAGAGAGGAAGGGAGAGGGAGAGAGACATCATCGATGGCTGCCTCCTGCACTCCCCACACTGGGGATCAAGTCCGCAACCTGGGTCAGTGCCTGACCACGAATTGAACCTCGACCTCCTGGTTCATAGATGGGCGAGCCACTGAGCCACGCCGGCTGGGTAACCACAGGCTCTTTAAACGAATCTGAAATAGCAAGATGGGAGGTCATGAAGGGATTAACTGCCGAGTCTGTTGGCATCACAGCGTGTTCTTTCTCTGCATTTTAGACATCAGTGATATTTGATATCAAGTTACGGGGAGAGTTTGACGGCACCGTTACCTTCCACCACCCCGTGCTTCCTGCCCGATCCATTCAGCCCTATCAGATCCCGGTGGCAGGTAAGGGAGCCACTGTGTCAGTGGGGGCCACATTCAGGGTGCAGTGAGGCATCTGCAGAGTGTGACAGATCGGTTTGCTTTCGTGACGATTCTTCCGGGCTTGTTCTCGATCTTCCCTCCTCCTGAATGTCACTGTGGGACGAGGTCACTTCCTCCTCTTGTCACTATCAGACAGTCCTGCAGTCATTAGCAGTGACATGTCGGGTTCTGTGTTGGCCACACACTTACATTTTCTTCCCATTTGTAGGTCCTGCTCCTGTGACCAGCCAGTCTCCGGTCCCGTGTAAGCTCTGTATCCTTGACGAGGCACTGGCGCTGTGCAGGGAGCTGCTACCCGCTGCCCTCCTGCTTGAGGGAACGACGTTTCAGGAACCAAAGTGGGGAGGTTTCCTACCAGGAGGGGTGGGCACTGGGCGTAGCCTCAGCCAGCGGGCAGGGGCGAGTTTAGTCGGAGCGGGTTTGCCTGTGTCTTCATGTCTTCGGGCTAGAATTTCCTATCACATGCAGATTCCTCGTCCTGGATTGTCTTTCAGCCTGACATCATCATCAGTGCTAGCCAAGGTGGGTCTGAGGGATGGCCGCAGGTCAGAGGGGAGAGTGCTTGTGGCCCCATATTTGGGGAGATGCAGCTTGAACATAGAGGGTGCGTGGTTGCCAGGCGTCTCGGGGCTGGTAGTCTGGCGGTCAGTCCTGTTGTCAGTATGTCCTGCATGTCTTAGACTGGGCTTCGGGCTAGATTAAGAAAAAGCCATCGATTGCTGTGCGTGCTTCTGGGCTTTTGTTCTGGTTCTTGTCATAGGATGACATCGCTGCCTCTCACACCCGTAGGTTACCTCTGGAACCTGCAGGTGAAGCTGCAGCCCATCGTCAACCTCCTGCCAGACAAAGGACGCCTGATGGACTTCCTCCTCCAGAGAAAGGAGTGCAAGAGGGTCATCCTGGCCGTCTGCTCCCAGAGTAAGGGGCTCCTTCCTTCGTCCGTGTCCAGCTTGTGCTGGCCCTCCTTCCCAGGCCTGTCTGCAGCCTGGGCCCCCACTCCTCACTTGAAGGGTGGGTGACCACACCCCCAGAAAGGCTGATAAATAGAAAAAGGACTTGTAATGCCTGGCTGGTGTGGCTCAGTGGTTGAGCGTCGACCTATGAGCCAGGAGGTCTCAGTTGGACTCCGTCGGGCTGCCTCCCCATCAGTGCTATTTCTGTCGCCCTCCCTCTCTGAAATCAATCTCAGTGGGGACTCTGGTAGGAATGACTCATAGTAAACCGATGGTTCCAGGGGAGAGGGAACCGGAACATGCGTACATGTGGGGATTGGGGCCCCCACCCCTCCTTTTACGGCAAACACTTCAGAATCCAAATCTCTGCCCCCCAACATCTACGCTGAGAACCTTCACTGACACGGTCACAGCTGCTCTCCCCAGGAGCCAGAGGCCTGTGAGCTCCAGGCGTCAGGTTGCTACGCTGGACGCTCTGGGCGCCCTTGAGGCCGTGGGTGCTGCTGGCCTGAGGGGGCGCTGCTGGCCCAGCAGCGTGCACGGCAGGTGGAGCGAGCTGACCGGCGCACCTGCTTCTTCCCAGTGCTGAGTGGGCCCGACAGAGCGGCCTTGCCCGTGGTGGCCACCGTCTTCGACAAGCTCAACCAGGAGTGCAAGAGGTACCTGGACGCCGAGCAGAGCTACGCAGCGGTGAGTGACCGCAGGCGCTGTGCTGGAGGCCCCTCGCCCCCACCTGTAGTTGTAGCTGCGGCAGGAAACAGCAGTAACTCAGGACCCTGCATCCCATCTCCCTTAGTGCCTCCCCTTGTCTGGGGTTTATCTTCTGGATCTTACGTTTAGATAGGTCCTTAGTCTTCAGTTTTATAGATAAAATTGGTCTCATCTTTGCATTACTTTTTTTATCCATGTTTCTACCAAGCCAGAGTCTAGTCTTAATTAAAAGTAGAATCATTTGCCATGTATTTTTCCTCCTTCTACGTAACATTAGTGCACCCTACCTTCTGAAGCCAGAAAGAAAATGGGTCAGGATAAGCGGGATGAATGATTTCACTTAAAGGACCTAATTAGTCCTAAAGCTGAAAATGGAAGGTTTTAAGCAGTAACAGAAAAGCCAGAACTCCACCCACCTTCAGCGGATCCAGGATAGCAGGGCTGGCAGGCGCTGCAGTGGCCATGGTTCTGTGGCTCGGAGCTGTGGTCCTGGCCTGTCAGATGCGGTTCCGGGAGGTGGGGAGGCTTAGTTCGTCTTGCTCCTTCTCTCGGTCCTGCTGCTCAGTGCTGGGCTGTGCGGTCGGCGGTCTGGTGGCAGTTTCTGTGCGTCCTGCTTTGTGGCTCATGGCTTTCTCAGCGCTGGGTGGTGGAGGGTGGTCTGTCTGCAGCACCTGGCGCTGCTGAGCATTGTGGGTTCTTGGGCACCGCCTAGCTTCTGCCCTCAGGGTCTGCACTGGTCTCAGGCTTTATAAGTTAGGAGACACGCCCTAGCAGGCTTGGCTCAGTGGATAGAGCATGGGCCTGCGGCCTGAAGGATCCAGGATTCAATTCCGGTCAAAGATAAATGCCCTGGTTGCAGGCTCGATCCCCAGTAGGGGGCCACAGGAAGCAGTGATCAGTGATTCTCTATCATCATTGATGTTTGTCTCCCTTTCCCTTCCTCTCCAAAATCAATAAAAATGTGTTGTTTCTTTTAAAGTTGGGTGATGGAGTTGAGATCTTGGAGCTTTCCTAGACAGTAGTAGTTGGGAGCCTTATTCAAAGTCTCGGTATAGACTCCTTACAAAAGTATGTACTTTAAGGCCTCATACAGCACAGATGCCATTTCATTCTTATGGATAACAAGGGCCAGGCAGTCTGACAGAGAAAATGAGTGAGTTGGTAAGGGGCTCACAGCAGGATGATATCCCTAAGAGAAGACTGCTGTGCTTGTTGCTCATCCTCCATGAGCGAGGTTTTGTCGAGATAAGGCCCTTCTCCAGAGAGCACAGGAAGTCTGTCCGTCCAGGTTGGGAGCTGTGCCCCTGCTCAGGCTTGAGTCTCACAGCATCTAGGAGTCCGTCCTTTTGGATTGATGGCCAACGCCTGTTGCCAGGGTGGTGACGATGACACCTGTCATGTGCTGTGCAGGCGGCGGAAGCTGGGCAGAGCCGGTGCAGTCCGCTCCTCCGCAGGCCCATGCGGACCCAGGCCGTGATCGACCAGTCCGACATGTACACCCACGTGCTGTCAGCACTCACGGAGAAGAAGGTAAGTGACTGCCGTCAGCTGCTCTGGACAGAGGGTCTCGGAACAGATCCTTGGAAGGGACTTAGGAAACCAGGACTCAGAACAGCTGGTTATTCTGGGAGGACCCATGCTGGTAATTAGGCCTCTAATGCTCAGGCCTAAACATTTCTCGATGAGGGAGAACTAAGAGCCAAGGGGCATGAATAAAGGTAGGATGCTGGGTAAGCTCCTTGCAGCTCGCATGTTCCTGAGACCACCTTTGCTTCCTCTCAGGAGACGCCACCGAAGTTTGTGGTCGCCGTGCTGATGGAGTACATTCGCTCTCTGAACCAGTTCCAGGTTCCAGTGCAGGTACCTCCGGGCACGTGGGGTCCTGATCAGAGGAGCAGGGACACCTAAGACATGGCACTGCCCGTCTCCTAACTGCCATGCCGTCTGTACTAAACGGCCCGCCGTCCTGACTCGGCGCCCGAGCCCTTCATTTCCTGACCTGCCACGTGTGCCGAGTCAGGATAAGCCCTGTCACAGGAGGCTGGGCTCTCCCCCACACCCGGGTCCCTTCCAATGATGGGAGCTCCTCAGTTAGAGCAGCTGCAGCCGCCATGCCTGAGCCGTCTCCTTATCTGCCTCAGCACTACCTGCACGAACTCGTCATCAAGACGCTGGTCCAGCACAACCTCTTCTACACGCTGCACCAGCTGCTGCAGTACCACGTGCTCAGCGACTCCAAGCCTCTGGTGGGTGCCGCCAGGGTTATCCGCTCGTTCACCGAATCCAGCACCTGGTGCTGAACGGCCGGAACCTGTCTTTCAGGCGTGTCTGCTGTTGTCCCTGGAGAGCTTCTACCCTCCTGCTCACCAGCTGTCGCTGGACATGCTGAAGGTAAGGCGCACCCACGTTTACAGCGAGTAAGCGTCTGCCGTGCTCGCGCTCACGTGGGCTTCTCTCCAGCGGCTCTCGACGGCGAACGATGAGATCGTGGAAGTCCTGCTGTCCAAGCACCAGGTGCTGGCCGCCTTGCGGTTCCTCCGGGGCGTGGGTGGCCACGACAGCGTCTCTGCACGCAAGTTCCTCGATGCTGCAAAGCAGACCGAAGACCGCATGCTCTTCTACACCATCTTCCGCTTCTTCGAGCAGCGGAACCAGCGTTTACGGGGGAACCCCAGTTTCACACCAGGTGAGAAGGCGCATTCATGAGAAGGCCTGGGCAGCCGCAGGGCAACTGGCAGCGGGTGGGCCAGGGGCCCTCGGTTAGAACTCCTGGGTTCGGTTTTAAACAGTCACAACAGCCAGCCTCGCCCTTAGCCCACCATTCTAGTGGAATGAACTCCGTGTGCCGGGGCCTAAATGATGCGGAACTTGAAGTGCTTGGGGAGGGGAAGCGTATGCAGGCCCAATTCAGGTGGTCTGAGCCAGTTCAGGCCAACAGCTGCTCTTGGACAGGAGCCGGTGCCTGAAGGTTCAAGGGGTCTGGGGCTTATTAATGTTTCTGGGTCAGATAGGAAGCACGACGGGCAAGTCACTCTGATGTCCAAAGGCACGAGACCCAACTTTATGTCAGGGCTCCAGCTCTTGGAGCTCGGAGAGGCAGGGCACTGGACCAGACAGGCTACCTCTACCGTGTCTAGCAGGTGGGGCTGCTGGCGGCTGTGAGGTCCCTGACCAGGTTTGCAAAGGCGTGAGCTATGAAAATGGAAAGGACAGTCCAGAAGCTTAGAACACAGAGTGCTTTATGAAAGAGGAAGTTAGGGGCCGCACACCTGGGAGCAGCATGCTCACCCTGCTTCCCTCTGTCCCCCAGGAGAACACTGCGAAGAACACGTGGCTTTTTTCAAACAGGTCTTTGGAGACCAAGCTCTTATGAGGCCTACGACGTTCTGAAATCACGCGCTAATTTTTTAATATATAAAATGTATAAAGTTAATTTATTGCATTAATAAAGCTCTTTAACCTACAAAAGACTATAATAAAGTACCTGCAACATCCTCAAGTGTTACTAAAAAGGCGGTGGGATCTGTGTGCTGGCTCCCTCCTCAGAAGGGAGCATCGCACGGACTGGCCTTCAGAAGGGCCAGGGAGCCGAGTGCCTCCACAGTGTCCGTCCGGTGTCAACCTCCCCTCGCCGAGAGTTGGGTGTCATGCTGGGAGAACTGGAGATGCGTCCAGGGCTCCTCCACTGTTAGTAACACACATTCCTGAGTGGACAGGCGTGTGGCCAGAGCAGCTGCTGTTCGACCCGTCGCCCGCGTCTGGTGACGTCCAGCGTTCATCTTAACCTGACAGCAGCTCCTCCCACCGGGGTCTGACCGGCCCGCAGACACAGTTCCAGGTCCCTGGCCCACGAGGGCTAGAAGTGGAGCTGCTCTCTCTCCGTGCCTCTGCAGTGCTGCTGCGTGGCCAGGCTTTTGGCTTTATTTACAGATGGTCCTGGGAAGGAGAAGAGAGCTGTGTCATTTCTAAGGAGGTTTCTCCATCTACGTCAGTGCTTCACCTTGGTTACAAAGCTATTAACGGCCGGGTACCTTTCTCTGCCAAGGGCTATTTGGAGATTGGTAACATCATTCGTGGACCATACAAACTTTCAACTTAAAAACTAACATTTAAATGTATATTACTTTTATTTTGGAGAGGGAGGGAGAGAAACATCTATCTACGAGGGATCGAACCTACAACCCAGGCCTGTGCCCTGACTGGGAGTCGAACTGTGACTTCCTGGCTCATAGGTCAATGCTCAACCACTGAGCCGTGATGGCTGGCTTGGTCAAACGATTAGCTCGCCCCTAATGCCTTGGCAGAGCCAGACCAAATGCCTGCACAGGCCTTAGACGGCTGTCCCCCATCCCTGCTGTCAATCAAGCAAATCCGTCCTGTTCTTTCAACCACGAGTCGTCATGGCAGCACTAGAGCATCTTCAGGACAGGTGGAGGTGGGGATGGCAAAGGCCGGCTGCGGGAACATTGAGCTAGGGACATGGCTCGGCCTGTGGCCACACGTCTCGGTGGAGGTGCTGCCTGGGCCGACATTCAAACTCGTTCCTGCCCTCGGCCTGTTCGGTAGCCAGGCTGGCCGTCTAGGCGGTGGTGGCCAAGCACTAATGAGGAGCTGTGACACGGGCGTCTTCCATGAGACGGCTCCCTCGGCCCTGTCTGTGAATGGCCCATCAGTACCAAACACTTCAAAGCCGCGTCCAGGCAGCACATCTCCTGTGGCCACCGCGTCCTCCGCCTGCCTGCCCGCCTGCCCACCCACAGGCTGGACAGCTCACCGATGTAGCTGAGGAGGACTGGAAGGAAGATCAACCCGTGCGTGGCTCCCAGGAAGACCATGGCTAAGTACATCCTGAAGTAAAATATCTGGAAAATTTGAGACTTGGCGAAGGCCAACACCACAATCCCTCCAAATTTTGTAAGCGTGATTCCACTGAATACCTAAAAGAGAGAGGGCGTTAGCACTGCTCTAATCCCCTATCATGTCCTAATACAGGGACTTCTTAGTCATGGTCAAAGTCATGTACTGCTTGTGAGCCTGGATCAAAGGTAATGGTACAAGGGTAAAATCTGTTTCTGCATAGACAATGTTCATACATTTCTTTGTATTCTCAGGTGAAAACCAGGTTAAGTATAAAACAAGGTTTTTGTTACTCGGTAACAGTCCTTCAGTAACAAGTGGTTGGTTGGTTGAACCAGGATATGGGGTGAGAGTCTGCAGACACAAGGTCAGACTGCTCACTGGGCCCTGCTGCCCGCCCATCGCTGGCCTGGGTTCGTGGCAAAGGCTCCTGCTCACTCACATCCACCCTGTTCTTCCTGCTTCGGCCACATGGCCGCCCCACAAGCTCTCACCCACAGGAACATGGTCAAGAAGCCCGGGTACAGCTATTTCACAAACTGCCTGAAACCTTGTCACCCAGGAGCTGCTGCTAAGCAGAGGATGCCCATCCCCTCCCAGCACTGGTGGCCGAGCGGCCCGGCCCACACGGTGCCCGCGTTACTCACAGAGCTGCCCATGTGGGAGAGCGCCGCCTCCGCACGCGCCACGCGGCTCCCCCTGGCGCTCACCGTGAAGGCCCTGGTGATGTGGGCGCAGAACTCCACCGAGATGCCGCAGCTCTGCAAGGAAGTGCACCTTTACAACTCGAAACCAGGCAGCCACCCTGCCCAGGGCACCCTGGGGGAGGGCCCTCAGAATCCGCGTGGACGAGCCCCGGGGGAGGCGCCCAGCACCCGATCAGACAGCATGTCTGCTTGTCTGGGGGGACGCGGGCACCCCCACGCTCGCACAGGCCACTCTGCCTGACGCAGGGGCCACGTCTGAAGAACAGTTAGCACCTGCTTGGACAGGTCATTATTAACTGTGGGAAGGAAAGGTACTGGCCAGAGAATTCCACCAGGAAGGGGGCGATATTTCTAAATAAAAAGTGACCTGTTGCTGTCATTAGGCTGCATGGTTTTGCAAACCCCACAGAATAATAAAGGGAGATGAGAGCTGGGCCATCTCTCCCAGAAACGGGTCCCAGGAAGTGACCAGGACTCACCATGACCAAGTTGACCAGGGAGACCGCATTCAGGCTGATGCCCCATAGCCACATGACACCAAACATGTTGACCAGGATCATGGCGATGGTGACGCACATGAGCACCGCAGACCACAGCTCGCAGCCCAGCAGCACCACTGTCACCAGGAAGATGGCCCCCAGGGACACGCAGAGGTTGAAGACGGTGTCCTCTACGATGGTCAGGTACTGCTCGTAGAAGACGTAGAACACACTGGGGGGCAGGGGAGACCGTCAGCCATCCTCCCTGGAAGCTCCACCCCTCCTGCCGCCATGCCACCCAGGGGCAGGCGGCAGAGCCGTGCAGAACACCCCAGGGGTAGCAGGACAGCAGCACAGTGGGCCTGCGATGACCTCTGCCCTCAAGGCCTAACGACGACCCTATATCTGTCTTTTACATAAAGTTTTTATTCATAATTCCAGCCTACCCTGCTTTGCAGGTTTATAAAGACTATTCCAGGGTATTTTGAAAAAACAAGTGCTGCTGTATCCCAAGAATTACCTCAGGTCAATGGGGTCTGTGCAGGGCTGGAGGAGAGGTGATTTTCTACCAAGGTCATAGCTCTCTTCCCAGGAATTAGGACGTCCCTTCTGAGAACTTGTCCCAGAAAAAATCTGTCCCCTGCCATACAGGTCAGCGCCGTCCCCTGCCGGACAGGTCAGCGCTGTTCCCTGCTGGACAGGTGAGGGCCGTCCCTAGGACACCCCATGTGTACAAGCCACACCCACCTGTATGGGAACACGCGGTGGTTGCTTCCTCCCTGGCGCATGGTCTGGGTGATGTTAGCAGCAATGAGCCGGGCCTTTCTCATGGCGTCGATGAAGTCAGCAGAGGTCTGGAGCACCGTGTGGTAGGTCATGAAGTAGGTGGCGCCCACACCAGTGTCATTGCCCAGGATGTTAACGGCCGACCCGTAGGCAGCATGGCCCCTGAGAGAAGACAGTGGAGTCAGAAGGACCTCGCCCCGCACACTGCAGTGTCCGCGCAGGCATAGGAGAGCCGCCGGCCGGATGGCGCAGGGCTGGCTGGCTCTGCCTCAGCAACAGGGCAGCCCGCGTGGGGGTGCTGAAGGGCCGGCTCCTGCCTCCCTCTGGCTTCTCCCCACTCTGGCTGGTTGGTGCGCAGCTGCTCCTGCTTCTCCTCTGGCTCTGCTCGAAGCCAATGCGTTTCCCTATACATCTGCTCCCAAGGATGTGAAACAGGAAGTGGGGAAGGCGGACCGTGGAGGGAGGCCACCTGGAGTCGGCCTAAAGAGAGGCCTCGCCATGCATGGCCCGGAACTCTCGGCAGAGTCGCTGCCTTTGGGCACAGTATCATCTCTATGGATGGGCACACGGCCGCCGACTCATGGCCACATGACAAGCTGGGGAACTGTGGTGGAGGTGCCGGGCTTGACACCGCACAGAGGTGGTGGCCACTGCTTCATGCAGGCCGAGCTCACAGACTCAGCCTGCACACAGACCCAGATGCAAGGCCCATTTCTACTTCTCTTCATTCCCACAGAGCCTGGCACAGGCCCCGAAACAGATTCTCCGTGACTAACGTATGAGGGGACTCGGGACTAATCTGGTATTTCTAGGAGAAAACAGGACGTCCAGGCCTACCTGACAGGCATCCTCTCCCACGAAAGCTTACAAGCCGCCCTCCCGCTCCCCCATGACCCCCATCTCCAGGCCAGATGTCCCGCTTCTGTGGGGACTGCGGCCTGGCTGCAGGCACGGGCTGGGAGCAGCACAGTGGGGCCAAACCATCTAAGCCTGAGCCTAGGATGACCTCACCGGAGCAGACGTGGCTCCTGTGCCCCCGGACACGGAACAGACATTCCCCTCCCGCCAAGGAACAGCGGGAGGGCCGAGCAGAGATGCCCAGGGAGCAAGTGCCCCGCCAGGATGCCAAAGGTCAGGATCAGGTGAGGAGGGGTGGAAAGAGGGCCTCTCCCGCCCTCCCCGAGTTTTCTGTGCAAACGGGGGTGCACATCCAGAGGCTCACTCACCCTTTGCCACACTTGGGGTTCGGGTTGTCGGAGAGGAACATGGGCAGGAACTTCATGAAGTCTTCCCCTTGGGGCCGCTGTTTGCCCTCGGGAGTCAGAGGCCTGCAGCGGATGCAGCCAGGGTCGGCCACTAGCAGAAACGTGGGAGGGGCCAAGGAGAAGAGAATGGATCTCCAGATTTCACTTTAAACATTTGGGAGAATCTTTTCCTGAATCTCAAGCTCCTGTGAGCTTCACAGTTGGGGCATTTGACTGAGGTGCCACCTCCGTCTTGGCTATAACGCGTCCTTCCCCGCGTGAAGGTGTCCTGCGTGAAGGACGGCCCCATGGGTATCACAGAGCCAGGGCTCCTGTGTGTTTATCAGGGAAACTCTGGGACGACCTCAACTCTCAGCGACCACAAGGCAGCCACGGAGCGCTAACAGGAAAGGCCGTGGGCAGCGA